AATGCGGAGCCGGAGAGTACACCGGAGAAAACGTCCATCATGACAGCCAGACCCGAACCTTTAGGTCCTCCCATGGGCAACATCACGCCGCCGTCGAGTGCGGCCTCTGGGTCGTCTGTTGGCTTTCCATCTTTGTCGAGCGCCCAATCCAGAGGTATCTTCTCACCCCTCCTCTTCGCCTTGTAAATCTTTCCTCTGGCCGCAATGGACGGCGCCATGTCCAGAACGAACGGTTGGTCTTTCCCCGGCGCACCGCATGCTATCGGCGAAACACCTAGCAGCTTACTCTTCCCGCCCCAGGCCGGCAGCGCAGGGCTCGAATTGGTAAACACCAGACTCATCATATCGGCGTCGAGCGCTTTCTGCACGACCCAAGCACTCATACCGAAATGATTCGAATGCTTGATGCTCGCCATCCCAATACCATATGTCTTTGCGGATTCGATGCACGCAGCCATGCCGGCGTCTGCAGCAAGGAAGCCGAAGCCATTTTTGGCGTCGACTTGGGTAACAACTGGTGTTATCTGGGTGAGAGTAGGTGTTGCCGCGCTGTTCAAGACGCCTTGTCGTACCCGCTCCATGTATGACGGGATTCTGTTCATGCCGTGAGTGTCGACGCCGCGGAGGTCGGCTGCTATGAGGCATTTGGCAACAATGCTCGCGTTCTCAGGCGCGACGCCGTTACCGACCAGAACTGAAGCTACGAAAGATTGTGCATCTTCGGCGTTGACGTAAAGCTTCTTGTCTGATGTGGGTTCTGTCATGTTTGTATTGGATGCTGAGGGTTGAGCTGCCAAGGTGACGAAGGAACGAGAGACTGCTTGGTATGCTTATCTCGTATCTTATATGATTCTACCAGCGGAATAGTGAGTCACGGTTTTCGGAAAAGCATCTGGTCACTAACGCGTTCTGTTGAGTTGCGGAGATAGCTAGGGGGGGTTGTCTGAGTCAGCGCATGTAGACTAGTGAAGACAGACTTCCCCGCCGTTCCCCGCAATCCTCAATCGAACTTCATAAACCTCAGGATGGAAGACATCAAGCCTGAATCAAGCTCAGACTCCTGCGCGTACGAACCGAATTTGCCGAGAGATAGCATTTAAGCATTGTGAACGAGTCGCGACTGACTTCCTGCTGACCGCTGATTGGACGCAGGGGAGCGCAATGGTCAAGAATGGATATGATGGCCTCACTCAGTGAGCGATACTCCGAGCAGGTTGTGGTACTTTAGCTGTCGACGATGACTGAGTGAAAAGTCTCGCAGTGACCTCGTTCTTTCCTGTTTCGTCTCCTAGGTTGTCTCGGCCACAAACAAGACCACAACTGTTTCGGCGCCACTCCTCGCTCATGAGTGTCTTCCAGAGCCTTGATCCCTATTGGAAATTAGAATAAAGGAACAGAGGTCTACCTGGTGAGAACGAAGTCGTCGAAATAACTGGACGCAGCCACTGCGACTTCCTCTTTCCCCGCCAAGCCGCACGTGCTTGCTCACAACCTTGGAAGCGCGGGTAGCTGCACTCACATCTCACCTCTTGCCGCCTCAATTCACGGAAACCCCTGTCGAAATCCCACAGAACTCTCGAAATTCGCAAACATGGACGACGAAGGCCCTAAATGGCGTCTTGGTATGTTGTGCCGCATCCCTTTCTCAGTTTCTTGGCTAACAACTTCAAGAGCAGGCGAGTACTGGCCGCGCAACCTGTAGTCAGGCCGCCTGCAAGCGCAGCCAGATCAAGATCGCGAAAGGAGAGCTACGTATCGGTACTCACACGCTGTTTGAGCCAGAGGCTAGATGGTACATGGCCTGGCGTCACTGGTAAGTCTACCTTCGTCTGGAGCCTCCTGCGCCTACTATGTATGTACTGACATGAGAAGGGGCTGTGCGACCAAGCATCAGATCGCGGGCTTGAAGGAGACCACCGGCAACGATCCGACAAAGGCACCCGGCTACGATCGACTCAGTCCAGAGAGCCAAGAGCAAGTACGGCTAGCCTTCGAGGGTCAGCCGGTCGACAAGAACTTCAAGGGCATCCGAGAAGACCTGGCCAAGGACGCTCAGCGATACGCCAAAAAGTACACTGATGTCAGCTTCTACAAGGTCGACGTTGCTGGTCGTGCATGCGCTTGTCGTGGCAGCGACTGCCTGTCTCAGAACGTGAAGATCACCAAAGGTGAGCTGAGGCTTGGTCTATCCGTCCCGTTCGGTGGCGAGCACGAGAGCATGGTCTACAAGCACTGGCAGTGCATGTCAGCGTTCGACTTGGAAGAAGTGGTTCGCCGAGTCAGTGAAGACATGTTCGATGGCCGTGACTCCCTTTCCACAGAGTTTGAGGAAGTCGTGACCGAGACACTCGAGACAGGCAAGGTCGTTAAGCCACCAGCGCCCAAGATCGAGTCGCGTGCGAAACCAAAGAAGACCCAGGCCCAGAAGAAGAAGGCCAAAGATGAGGCAGAAGAAGACGCCGCGGACGCCGCAGAGACCAAAGTCAAGGCAGAAGATCCGGAACACGAGGTGGAACCACAGCCGAACGTCGCCTATCCGCCCTCGCCGCCGCTCGAGATGGAGAAGGCACCAAGCACAAGTAAGGTCGGAGGAGCAGTCGATGCCCAGCCAACTGAGAATGGAGCGACCGTCGGTGTCAATTTGGGAGAAGCAGGAGTCGATGACGCGGTGAAAGCTACAGATGCAGCAGCGGTTCCCAAGCCCAAAGCCAAGAAGACGCGAGCGAAGAAGCGTCCTATCCGAGAGGTGGACGCAAGCGAGGATGAGCCCGAGTACATCCCCAAGAAGTCAAGAAGCCGCTCCACTCCGTTCACCGGTACTGCTGGTCTTGCATAGCGCGATGGCATTCCGACCGAACATGCGATCAAGTAGGAGAGCGTGTTAAGGCCTGAAAAGGCAAAGGAAATGACAGCGAGGTGACAACTAACTGAACATGTACAAAGAGCACATACATAGCTGAAGGAATCTATAGCAAGCTTCTTGTGAATCAAAATACCCGCGCGATTGATCTTGACCAAATCGCGACACTGTCGTAGGTCGCGTTGACTTCGCGTCACAGCTAGTTCCCTGACGCACGACCCACCTGAGCTCGAAGTGGCGCATCCTTGCCGCAAGCTGTCCTCCCCGCAACACACCCACTACCAACGCAACTCCACTTCACGAACCACCCTATCTATTCTCCTTCGCCAATCACCCAGGAATTACCTCGTTTCAAGAGCCTATTCACTCGATAATAGCCACAATGCCCGGCAAAATCATACCCGTAACCTCCGCTTCGCACTTCTCTCAACTTCTGTCGCAATCCAAATACACTATCGTCGACTTCTACGCGGATTGGTGCGGACCATGCAAGGCAATCGCGCCAGTCTTCCAGGGCTTGGCAGACAAAGAGACCAAGCCAGGCAAAATGCAATTCGTCAAGGTGGATGTGGATAGCCAACAGGAAGTTGCAAAGAAGTATGGCGTCAGCGCGTACGTACACCCCCGAAAGACACACCTGCATGCTAGGATGGAGGAAACGGTGGATTCATGAGCTAACATAAACACTGTCCAGTATGCCAACCTTCCTCGTCATCAAATCCACCTCCGTCGTCGAAACCATCCGCGGCGCCAACCCCGCAGCCCTCACGGCCGCCGTCCGTAAAGCCGCAAACGATACTTCTGGCCCGGGTGCTGCCTCCGCTGTCTTCTCGACCAAAGGTCGCACACTTGGCTCCGCTTCAGAACCCAGTCGGCCGGTCGGCGAAAGCCCATTTGCCGGCCTACAAAGGATGCTGACTGGTAATGGCGGACTGAGCGATGTGGTGATCAGGTTTGCAGCGCTGTACTTTGTCAGCCTGTTTGCGTTTGACTCTTTCAAGGCCGCGGAGGAGAGTCCGTTCAATGTTCGCGCGAGGCGGTAGAAGAGGGCGGGGAACACGGAGTGATAGCACCTATGCGGAGGTTCGGCGTTTAGGATAAGAGCGTGGCGTTTATGGTATACCATTCTTAGGTTTAGTGTTTTCGCAATATTGACATTATCGCCAGCACGAGTATCGAAGAGCTCGGTCGACCTTCTAGGTACTGCTGGCTACGACATCATATTCACATTTCGATCTTGAATCCACTCTGTAGCTAGTAAGATCGCTCTTGACTCATCCATCTTTCGCATTTCCCTTTGATTCTCAGCTTGCCTTGAAATCGCCAGAAGGAAAGCCCACGTGTGACCATCCATGACTATGTTATAAAGCAAACTTTGCGCAAACAATCACGATATAGTCCCCTTATATCCACCTCTGCGATGCCCTTACTTTACCAAACGCAGAGTCTACAAATGATGGACCCGTCTTCCGGCTTCACGCCCAAGAAAGCCCTTGCCAGCTGGACGCACGCCGAACTTCTAGAGAACTACCGCGAACTCTACGCAGAGTACGACAAATACGCAACGCTCGCCGCGCATTTCGACGGCTCCAGATTGCCCTTTGGACGAGAGCGCACGCTCCACAACCTAGTGAATGCACGAGCGAAGGTGGAGCATGATATCAAGAGACTCAAGAAGACGTACCAAGAAGAGCGTATGAAATTCGCGTGTCAGAATCTCGATGCGAAGCTCCGTGAGGCACTCGAACAAAGTCGAGACACATTGGCAGCTGTCTTGGATGAAGATCGCCGCCCTCCGCCTGACAAGCTCATGAAGGAGAAGGCAGAGTTGCAGAACGAGAAGACTAACCTGTTGTTGCAGTTGCGAGACTTGTTGTACAGATATAAAGAGCTGCTGGAGAGTAGAAGAGAAGGAGAAAAGGATTGTAATAATAGTAATATACAAGAGGTGGAGAGCGAACGGGACCTGCTTCGAGAAGACCTCGATATTGCTCGGGTGGAGTGTGAGAAGTTGAGACAAGAGGTAAAATACCTTGAGAGTGCGCTGGGGGTAAACTGATAGGTGAAGGGAGTACGCGGTCGGATGCGGGAGTGCATTAATGATATCTGGGCAGGATTACATAGCTAATAACAGTCCAAATCAGTATCTATAAGTAAAGACTGGTTTACTAGACGATGAGCTCGAGCCACTCGACGAGGGTCTTTCCCCATTGATCTCAGCCTTGTCCTTCTTACCCAGCACAACCCTTTCACACCAAGAGCACCAACTCCTCAGCTCGCCCTTCACCTCTCGCTCAAGATACTGAATTGACTTCTTCTTCTCGTCCTCAAACAGCTTAACGCATTCGCCGACGCGCACCTGCTTCTTGTGTTTGACCTTGAGCACACCGCCGATGCCTTCGATCTCCTGTGTAAGGTAAGAAGAGCCCCTCCAGCGTTCGGGTGACTCAGGGGTTTGCGATCTCTCTTTCTCGATGGTGTCGAGGAGGTTTTGCTCGCAGGTCTCGTGCTCGACGATGTGTGCGCCTAGGCATGCGGAGCCTCGTCCGCATTCTACGCCCTCGTTGCCTTCGCCGAGACCGATGCCTACGCCGCCGTGCATGTGGCTGTACATGGTGCGCCAGCTCCAACCGCGGACGTAGGTGGTATCGGCGTTTCGCAGGTCCTTGCCACATGGCGCGCAGAGCCAAACTACATTGTCGCAGTTGCAGGGTGTACGCTCGAAAGCTGGCGCCGTAAAGGCTCGCGGGTTGTCACCATCAAAGAGCACTGGATGTGTCTCTGGTGACCCGGGTGGCGAGGGAGACGTCGACAAGGAGCGCTGCTTCTGCACAGCCATGAGCAGTGGGAGGGGCGCTTTGGTACACGTGCGACATAAACGGCGATGGCGCGCTCTGAGCGTGGGCGTTGGTGGTGGCTTCATCGTACAGTTCTGCAAGACCTGTTAGCTCTATGCCCTTTCACTTGCATCTGGATGTCGTACCCGGCATACGACTTTCCCACACCGCTGGCAGTCGCCCACCATATCGCGGGCGCATTTGCCGACGCGACCAGTCGTCAAGCGGCTCTGTAAGACATGTCGCCCCTCGTGCAGTCGCGAACCAGGCTTCTCACTGAGGTCATCGTCTTCATTCTCGCAATGAAGCGTATGTCTGACCAGCTGGCTGCGATATTCGAGCAGATTCGCGCGAAACTGCCTGCAAGTACGTGAGAGGTCGTGAAGCGTGTTGAGGTCGAGCTGAGCAGCGAGCTGACTGACTATCCTGCATAGTTAATATGATTAGCATACATCAAAGCGCGGAATCAAGTCCATGCTATGGCTGGAGCGTACGGATAACAGCTAAGTGCCGCGCTGAATCCATTGATATTCGGGTTCGGCCTCTCGGCTGCTGTCGTCACGTCGCCTTCATCAAGGGAGCGACGCGGCGGACAGACGTTGAACCGGCCGGAAGATGGATGGGGCGTCTCTAAATTGGGCAGTTCATCGTCTCCCAGATCAACTAGGACCACCATGGTTAGTAGCTACAAAACGAGTGTGCAGCATCGAAGCCAGACAGGGCTTGAATGGAGAGAAATGAGAGTCGTGATGGAGACTGCGATGCCGGAGTCATGACGAACTGGAGACACGCTCCGTCGCGTTGGTGGGGGGCTTGGCGGACAGCGGCTTTGCTTCCGTTCGTTACGCGTCGCAGTCGTTCGCTCTTCACTCGGCCCGTGACGTGGGTCTATCATCGTGACGCGAGCTGTCATGGTTCTGGAAAACAGCGAATACATCACCAATCACACTGGGTTCTCGGGTTATCGGCACGCAACGAAGGAATACAGTACCAATATCACCCGAATGCACGTCTACTACGGGGATCCAGACCGACATGCCAGGCATTCTCAGAGCCTCCTTGGGAGCCGACCGCAACATTGGCTGCGGTTTCCCCTACAGTAGCCGATCGTTATACGGAAGCAATTACTGGTGCAGGCACAACTAGTCATTCTGAATATGCTGACGATCTGTCTCAGATTCAATTTACAACTAACTATACAGCCAACCACTTCAACGATATCCACGTCGACTAAAACCCTGACGACCGTACCCACGCTGCCCCCAATCTGGCTCACGCCCAGTCAGTAGTGGTCCGTTCACCGCACGCCCAGTTCTCGGATCCCAACTTCCAGATGCCCCGATGAAATTTCTGTCGCATTGCTCAGGTGGCGGGTGAGTATGGCATCCTTTGGGGTTCACTGGCCCGTACCAAATGGCATCGTGCGGTAGCCCATTCCTGACTTCCCCAATCTCTGCTACTCGTCTCGCGGTCTCGCTTTGACCATCCATCGCTCGAATACTGTCAGGGTGCATGACCTGCGCACGCACCGTTCTTAATTCGTATTTCGAGTTGACCAAGTCCTTGCCTAAGATATCCATGCATCGCTGGATACACTCTTCTCTCTGTATCTCCTGGCCTTGAAGATATAGGATGTGTACACCGTCGTATTGTGCGTGGTTGTCAACTTCGGCGTGTGAGTATGCATCGCCGTGCGTTTCTGGTCGTGCGCACCGACAAAATTGGCCGTCAATGAGATTTCTATCGTAGCCGGTGTAGTGAACCCGTGTCTGTCGTCGGTTGACTACTTGTTGTTGTGGAACAACTGCCAATTGTGGAACGAGGGCCAGCTGCGGGTTCTCGGCCTGTACAATATAAGACCCTGGAAAAGGTACTTGACGTGAGAACGTAATGTTATAGGTATACCCTGACTGCCTGTAGGGAAACATGGCTTTAGTTTCTTTAGAGTAGCAGGCGGTTGTGATGTTGTTATTTGGTGAGAGCGTGAGGATTCAGAGTTGAGCAGCCTAGGATAGGCTTTTGTACCTTGAATATGTCACTCGCAATGGCCACGTCGTCTCCTTGAGATCGTGTTGTACTTACGTTCACATCTTCAGCTACTGTAACATCTACATTTCAAGAAGAAGTTGAAGAGCTCGTAGTCCATTCTTCATGCACTTCATACATCACCCGTGGTGGCGGAGGTGACAATGACTCACAGCTAAATGATTAGATGTGCCAAACGGTTGAACGTTTGAGATTATGTGAATGCGGCTCTTTTTTTATAAAGGCCGAACTGTCGTGAAGGTCACAAAGTCATGATATGAAGACGGAGAGTCGAGTGGAGGAAGCGGCGATGAGAATGAACGCGACTGGTCACTAGCGTCTTGGCATCTGTGGATCGATCCGAAGGAGCGATGCGGGTTCTCATGCATGTCACAATCGCTGAATGAGGGGCATTACCGCGTTAACGCAACGTCTATAGAAGACCCGCTGAACTTCACACTTGTCCCTGTTACCTTCCATCCACCATGGCGCATGGCACGGGAGCGGTGAACCGGCTTCGGCTCTCCACGACGCTCACCGAATGGGGGGACCACGATACTTACTAATGACGACAAAGCCATCACGTCCGTCCAGTGTCAGACAAACCGGTAAATTTTCACGTCTGCGACACGGCATACTCGCAATACCATACTGGCCTCACGGGCTTGACGCCCTTTCTATCCGTAGTTTGCGGGTCGTAGCCGGACGCTAATGCAACGAGCCCGTACCGCTGGCCCCCCATCTGCAGCAAAGTGAGCTAGATGTAATCTTCTACAAAAGCAATGTGTGCGATTCAGAAGGGACACGTAGTTCCGTCCCTGCATCCTTTGTCGGTATAACAATCGCACAAAGCAAGTGTAGTCTACAACGCCTACGAAGACCAGCTAGCAGCAAAGCGTTGCGACAAGATACAGTCCTACCACCGAAGCATACAGCACCATGACGACTTTTCTCCTTCGCGACATTCGCATTTTCACTGGCGAAGAGACTATCGACGAAGGATATGTTCACGTACTCGATGGCAAGATCAAGAGTGTTGGACCCATGAGCGATGCGCCGCTCGAACAAGTAAAGACATATTCGAAACCAGGCCACACGCTTCTCCCAGGCTTGATCGACTGCCACATCCACGCAGACAGGGCCGATCCCGAAGCTCTACCTCAAGCGTTGCGCTTTGGCGTGACTACCGTGTGCGAGATGCACAACGAGCTTGAGAACGTGCAAAAGCTGAAGAAGCAGACTTTGGAGCCAGATACTGCTTCGTACAAGACAGCAGGCCAGGCTGCCACCATCGAGAACGGGTGGCCGATACCCGTGATTACGGCTCACGACAAGAGTCCGGAAACAGCGGCGGCAATTGCAAAGTGGCCCAAGTTGACGGATCAAAGCAGCGTGGTAGAATACTTGGAGTGGACGAAGAAAGAGATGCAACCAGACTACATCAAACTCATGCACGAGAGCGGGACCAGTATGGGTCGCGAGTTCACCTACCCTTCAGTCAAACTGCAAAGAACCATCATCACGGAAGCCAAGAAGCGGGGTTACCTGACCGTCGCACACGCTCTCTCCCTGCGAGATACTCTCGATGTTCTGAACGCGGGTGTTGATGGCCTCACACATACGTTTTGCGACCAGCCGCCGACCCAGGAGCTGATAGATGCATACAAAAAGAACAACGCCTGGGTCAATCCAACACTGGCTGCAATCGGCAGTTTGACAACCGAGGGGAAAGAACTGCAGCACCAGTTCGCACACGATCCCCGGATCAAAGGGCTGATCAACGACGATCGCGTGGGCAACATGTGTAAGTGCATGGGGTTTTCTGCTGAGAACGGTAAAGTGGAATACGCATACGAGGGCGTGAAGAAGCTGAGAGAAGCGGGTATCGATATCCTCTGGTAAGTCGTATCTTTGCAGTCCAGTCATCAAGTTACTAACGAATTATAGCGGAAGTGATTCAGCAGGTCCAGCAGTGGGAACAGCATTCGGTCTGTCAATGCACCAAGAATTGAATGTCTTCGTGCACAAGATCGGCATGACACCTGCGGAGGCTTTGCGCTCGGCCACGAGCCTGGTAGCCAAACGTTTCCAATTCACCGATCGCGGACGCCTGGCAGAAGGACTCAACGCCGACATGTTGCTGGTTGAAGGCAATCCACTTGAAGATATTGATGCGACGTTGAACATCCGTGGTGTTTGGCGGGATGGCAGTCTCTGTAGTACGTATATGGAGAAGTTGGAAGCCGGTGTGAAGCCCTTGTTGGGCTGATGACGCATGTCGGCGATGATGTTTGGAGAATTCAAGGTTGAGTTTGGTGGCTGTCGGCAGTCGCTCAGGATTGATTTAAGGCTACGATATGTCAACAGTTGTACCAATCAATCTCCAACAATCATTCAATTGCGCGAACTACCCCTAGGGGGGTATATAAAGACGCCGCGAGAGGTGTTGTAGACCCCCAGCATTCGCATCAATTCTTCTTCTTCTTCTCCTCCTCCACTCCATTTCTCTCATCACAATGGCTGAGACATCAGAATCCAAGCTACTTCAAGGCTATGTCAAAGGCTACCCCAAGCTTGCCCGGTCAATGGGCATACGACCTGAGAGCGCCATCTTCCGTAGTTTTGGCGCACTCAACGCGAAGAACTTGCTATACATGCAGGCAGAAATAACATACTTGGAAGAGACTTTACGAGAGATGGAAGTCGCAGACCACGCCAGCGATGAAGGAGAGAAAGCTCGGTATGCTAGCGACTGGTTTTGGCTTGAAGTTTCAGCAGAGGAAAGGGATGGTGTCGACGCATCGCAACTGAGCCTCATTCTCAAGATTCGAGAGAAGCTTAGGGAGTACAGTGAGTACCCATGACCATAAAGACACCAAGAGTGGTGATACTGATCGGCAAAGACAAGGCGTTGTACTACCAGACAGCCATCTGCCAGTTCGAGCCTCCAGACTACTTCGACCTCAAGGACGTTCAAGGCTTCATGGCCTGCTCAGAGATGGCGCTGCCCTTGCTCGGTCCAGACAGAAACATCTGGGGCAGAAAAAGTAATCCCACCGCTCACGCAGACGATGGCTTGGTCGCGCTGCGTCCTCGAGTGCGCACCGACACGTTCACGACCATGCTCTCCGATCGACTGGTACACGTCTTCTTATTCTTCAAGAAGCTATACCCGGGAAAGGAAAGTGAAAACCCCATGTGTTTCTATCGTGACGACACGATCTCAACAATCACGTTCTGGTTGACCTGCTTCATCGCTTCCATCCTCCCGGTCATATCGATCATCGCACTGGTCAACATACCCTCGCTGGTACATCGTCTCGCCGCCATGGCTGTTTTCAACGGCATTGTGTCGCTCTGTCTAGGATGGTTCACGGAGGCGAGAAGGACGGACGTCTTCGCGATGACAGCAGTGTAAGTTCTAGTAGCTGTTCAAACTGTATATCATCTGACTTTGAGCATAGATTCGCGGCTATACAGGTCATTTTTTGGGCCAAACACTTGTTCATGGGCCGTAGGAAGTTGTATTCGCACCCAACAGTGCGTCACCGTCATGCATCTGCGTAGTGTAGCGGTACCAACCGAGCTACGCTGGGCTACATTAGAAGCGTGTCCTTTTGCGAATGCCTTCCAACGAACGTTACAATTCTAGAGAGCTACCTGATGCGAAATAACTAGTTACAACACGTATGGTACGTTACAAATCAATGTCATGGAGAATGCTACCAGTTCTGTCAGCATTTATGCTGTTATCGTGATTCAAACCATTGATGTGTTCAGGAAGCTTACGGCTGCAACTAGGATAACATTACTGTCCCTTATTAACGGGAACAAAGGCGTGTATTTTAGCGGGGTGGAAGGCGCTAAGCAAGATTGTTCGGCTGGCATACTGATGACGGCTCACTTCCAAGGTTTCACTTTGTGCAATCCAAAACATTCCTCCACGAAAACACGTCTGATATGAATCTGTAACATGTCAGGACTGTATCCTTGCGACAGTTATCTAGAAAGTTATGGAATACCTGGACGCTTCCACCTGACTGCCATCGCGTGTTTCCACTGCTGCTCATCCTTCTGAAGATACAGCGGTCGACGGATAGGCTTTCGTCCACGCTTGCTCCCGCGCCCCCACTTCTTCATCTCCTCGATGTACCACTGTTTGTTTTCCTCATCAATGGCCTTACATACAGCGCTGTTACAGAGCTTGACAGAGCGTTCAGGAGTACCGACGAGACTGTAAGTGTTCCAATAGTTGCAGTCAAGACAGACCCAGCCGATGAACCCAGGAGAAGCTATCTCGCCAATTACATGAGCTTCTAAATTCCTATGGCCGGGCGCAACGAGAACCACGTCTTGGCAATGAAGGCATAAGGAACCTTCATAGTTTTTGCTCAGAGGTAGGCTGATGTCCACCCCGTGATGGTGGCAGCCTGGACTATCACAAGGTGCGTCAGCTATCTTGGATCTCCGATTCCTAACGAACTTGTTACAATGGCGGATGTTGGTGCTAGAGTTGCCACAGCAAAGCCAGCCCCGCTGTAGTCTAAGCGCGGTCACATCGTGCGTTCTATCGTTGGCATTCTTTACATTGTTCGACCTAAGAAGCTGTGCGTCACCTATATTACAGTCAGTAAGATTTTGAAGATACCCATACATTCATTGGCGGTACTTACTTGGTTTGGGTGGAGGATGGTTGCTGCCCTTGGTTCCTGTTTTACGTCCAATGCCAGAAAACATTGTAGTGATTCAGTGCTAGTAGATGATATCCGATGCACCTTTCTATGAATACGTACATGAACTTTATATCTCTAAGCCGATTCGTTTGCTATCAAAGCAGATGGTACTAGTCATTGCATCATGTGCTGGACAGTTGACATGAATGACAACTTGCGTGACTTGTCGTTATGTTCACCCTGACCTGCTGTTCTATTCGCGTGTCAAGACCGAAAGATGAGCTGTCATATATCTACCATGGCACGATAATTATTATCATATACCCATAATGTGATGTGGGAGCTACTCGCAAGAGGACAATGTCCGCTAAGAGCATTAGGGATAACCAGGAACATTTGGTTTGAGTGTAGTATAATACATGCAATGGAACCATTAACCGGCTATGGAGTTATCGCTACTGTGTAGCTTCAGACTGTAATGCCTCCCCTGGATTGCCACCCATGTTATAATCGTATAAAGTTTTTTTTTTCCCGCTATGAACATGAGTTCAAGCTATATTGAGGTGCTGAAGCCTAAGACGAGACCGCGTTTCAATGCAGCTTTCACTACAATGCGCTCAACTCAAAACAGCAAATAGCTTCACAACACTGAAGTTCACGATTCGTTTGGAGCACGTGTAGTAAGTATCTGGAAAAGTAGTTCCCCAGCACTTATCGGGTACGCGCATTGCACGTAGAGTGTCGGCGGTTTCCAGACTTGGCGTATATACAATCCCATAATATTATTCGAATCATTCGAATACGGTGGTTGGCTGTTCGCTTTATGCCGGTAGCCGTTATGCAACATTGCACAGGCGCATAGCCCCGTAGCGCAGCAGGAGGATGCTGATCAGCCCCAACACTGCCTACTTAAAGCCGGTTGTACGCAACGTAGTCATTAAAACCTCGTTCCTCGTAGAATACCTTCCAAACCACATCTGGCTCGAGCATGACTAACGAGAAGTCGAAACGTTCGAGGAAAAAAGCAGCACTGTCTGCTGCATGGCGCAACCATCCAATCGGCTACCCACGCCTATCGGAACGCATGGGCGTCAAGCCAGAAACTCTCATCTTTCGAAAGTTCGTTGCACTCAACGCGCGCATGCTGTTATACATGCAGGCAGAGCTCGCTATCCTTGAGAAAGACCTCCACGGTACCGAAATAAGTGATAGAGAGGAGGCGAAAGGCAACAAACATCATTACGCGACAAGCTACATGAGACTGTTACACAGCCCTCAGGACGGGGATCCATATCAACTCGAGTTGCTCGCCAATATATCATCCAAACGGGAGAAGTACAGTGAGTTTGTCGTCCGATGAGCACGCGCCTTCGAAATCTGACGTATCTAGAGACACCGCGTTGTTGCAGCAGCATAGACTTTCTCAGATACCAGAACCTGACCGACTCGACCTGAATGACGTCTACCGGCTACTACAAAGTGATGACATGGGAGGCGGAGAACTGGGTGGTCTCGATGCCCTATTCTGGGGTCACCCCCATGACCCCGAGAACTATCCTCCCGATCTTGTCGGCGTATGCCCTCGTGAGCCTGCGGATCCGTTCTCTCGTTGGGTGTCGGAAAATGCCATCCTTCTCTTTAAGTGCGGTCTTGGACGCCTGAAGAAGACTGACAAGCATCACGGGCGCCGGGTCTACTACGACAGCACGGTGCTGAGGGTCACATCGTGGATAACCTCCATATTAGCGTCGCTGCTGCCGATCGCGTCAATCCTGATACTGTTACATCTGGATTCTTTGAGGGTGAAACTGTGGGTGATCGGCGGTTCCAACGTATTGCTGAGTGTCTGCTTGAGGACATTAACTGAAGCCAAACGCGCTGAAGTGTTCGCTGTGACTGCTGCGTAAGCAATGAACTGTTGTCGATGACATGGGCTGACAGACTCAGGTTCGCTGCTGTGCAGGTGGTATTTGTCGGAACCGATCGCAACACATCTGCCAGCTAGCCGTGGTTGAGGCAAACATGGTGTTAAAATCGATCTGGGTCTACAGGAGTAGGTGGATAGCCGAAGACGATGCCCGTAATCCGAGACGAAGAATCGCTACTGAGGTTCACAAACTGCTACGTGGGTAAGTTTTGCATCAGTAGACATGCCGTTATTAGTCTGTAAGCTCTAGTTACTTGTATAACATTATTCCTGTTGCTTGATAGCGCGATGTATGCGACAGCTCGAACTCGTTTCTGGAGTAGACGATGAACCATCAGCAAGGTTAATGCGACAGCTGCTCTGGGACAGGCATGATCGAAGTTTGCTGTAGGGCTCTCGGAGCCTCACAGGTCAATGGGATTATAATTGTGTCTAAAAAGATCCCGGGTATGCCGATGTATGGTCTCCGTGGATGCAGGCAGTGAGGTAGTGACTGATGAAACGCATTTTAGTCGATTGCGAGCAAAGCAACTCCGCATCCGGTGCTTCCACGCCAAGGCGCTAATGACGCTAAGCCCCCGCGTCTTCCATCTCATCTCGCGCGAACACCAACCGCGCCCTTGCCCTCAATCTAGGATCATTGCACGGCACATACGCAAGCGTTTCTGTAAGCGTTTCCGTAGCTGAACACAGCTAAACGCTGTTACACAAGGACTTGAAACAAAAATATGTCACTTAATGCTAACGATCTCGCCTACATGCCACACTCAGCACGACGCGATGCGTCATTTCACATTCGCGCCGATGACATGCACCCCAGATGAGCGTTTCGGAAGCCATCCACATGGCTAAGAGCCTCAAGACCGACCCAAGACCAACCCCGCAATCTGGCCAACCCGCCGTTGCACGCCCAGACAAGCTGAGCACTGATGCTCTCGGTGTCATTACTGGATGACAGATCTGCGCTCATGCTTCACCACGAGCATCATTGGACAGTCCCACGTTTGGCATCTCGGCATGACAACGGTGTCGCAAAGCTGGCGACGTTAGCACTTCGGTGGTAATATGGCGCAAGGAGCAGTATCCCATCATGGAGGTTTCTCCTTGTCCAAGGCTTCTTCACTTCGTGCTCGGGTCTTCTGATGACTTGGTTGGATCTCATTAGACCCTGTTCCTTATCTACTTACTCCATTTGGGTCCGTATGCGACGCGCCAAAAGATCAATAGGTTTCTGTCTGCCGGGTTTGTGATGGAGGTGGAACACACGGCATGCCCAGCCACGACACCTCGAGCTCTTGGGAAGCTTCGCCCTGGCTGTAATCCGGAATTTGCCTCGGTCTCCATCGTCATCACTCCAGTATAAGTGGATGCGTGATAAGAGAAATGATCCGCAGCTGCTCTTGTCCCTGCGACGATCCTCCCCTGTATTCTTGAGCCTTTTCCACGGTGCAGAGAAAACCGGATATTCTGCCCATCATGAACAGCGACGACGATTACAAGCAAGACACTACTCACAAGGAAGCAGTCAGTCCGACGGCGACGGACAACAACGTCTCGGAGTATGCTTATGATCAGATCGAAGAGAAGAGGTTGGTGCGTAGGGTCGACTGGAGGCTGCTACCTATATTGGGTGCCCTGTACTCCATCGCGCTCATAGACCGCACAAACGTCAGTTCAGACACCTTCTGTCCGCATCTAGACGAAACGCTTACCGGCGACAGATTTCCAACGCCCGAGTTGCTGGAATGGGACCGGACCTCAACCTCCAAATCGGAGATCGCTACACCATCGTCCTGGTTCTCTTCTTTCCGACATACTTCCTGCTTGAGCTTCCATCTAATATCGTCCTTCGTAAAGTGGGTAGCGCGAATTGGCTAGCTTTCATCGCCGTATCATGGGGTGCTGTCATGATCGGACAGGGCTTTGTCGAAAGCTGGATTTCACTTGCCATATGCCGTGTATTACTGGGAGCTTTCGAGGCTGGGTTCTTCCCTGGATGTGTATATCTCATCACTTGTTGGTATCGCCGCTATGAGACACAAAAAAGGTATGCGACCTTCATCAAACCAAAGGCATGGTAGCAATGGCTTACCAAGAACGCAGACTGGGTGGCTTCTATCTTTTCTCTGTCGGTATCGGTGGCCTTGCGAACATCCTTGCGTATGGTCTCATGCAAATGGAAGGTGTCGGTGGTCTCCGTGGCTGGAGATGGATCTTCATCATAGGTAAGCAGAACCCCCCACCAATTTCTAACTAGGTCCTCTCTCCACATTGCACTTCGTCTCGATCTGAGGCTTTTCGAGCTTTGTTGATTCTACTCAGGCAATACTGACACTCAGTGTAGAGGGCATCTTGACTTGCATTGTTGCGATCGCAGCATGGTTTATCATCCTAGACTTCCCCGATAAAGCCGAAAAGAAAGGATTCCTCACTTCCGCTGAGGCCGCTGTCATCATGCAGCGTATCGAAGATGATCGAGGTGACTCGGTAGCGGATCCATTGACCTGGGCCAAATTCGTTTACCACTTGAAAGACCTCAAATTGTGGGCCTATGCCACGTTATTCATGTCGACAACCATGCCAGCGTACGCCTTCAGTTATTTCCTCCCGGTCATTCTTCTCGGCATGGGATATTCGCCTGGTCAGGCTAACGCACTATCCGCGCCTCCCAGTCTGTTTGCGATGTTCACAGCCTTTGGGTTCGCATGGCTAGGAGACAAATACCGCCTTCGCGCTCCCGTGATTGCTGCGCAATCGATTCTTGCCATCATCGGTCTCATGATCGTAGCATATGCCAAGAACAACGGGGCAAGGTACTTTGGCTCATTCCTAGGAGTATGTGGCTGCCAGGGCAACGTCCCGGCTATTCTCGCGTACCAAAGCAACAACATCCGTGGCCAAAGTAAGCGGTCCGTCGGAAGCGCTCTCCAGATCGGCTTCGGTGCAATCGGTGGTATTCTTGCATCAACGACTTTCGTTCAGGAAGAAGCTCCCACATACATTACGGGTCTCTGGGTCACGGCTGGTCTTCAGATCTACATTCTGCTAGTGCTGTGCTGCACTACTACGTACTTCTTGAAGAAGAATAAAGTGGTAGATAAGCAGAGGGCTAATGGAGAGCCGATGGACGAGAACGAAGGCCAAGCTGGGTTCAGGTATACTATATAAGCAGTGGGGAGGATGGAGGCGTGGATGATCGTTCTTGCGCATCGCGTCTTGTGGTCGAGGGCTGCTACGGTTCGTCCAAGTGATGTCAACGCAATACTAGCTTTTAATGAAGTCTTCATGAGAATGCAACATTCAAGTCCCTGTCCTTGCGAGCAAGCCTTACAACCTTGAAAAGACGGTGGGATGGAAATAGATCCTTGCCGTATGCGGAATAGCGCGACACGGTGATGACGTTTACCGCCGGACCCTTTCGCGTCGCAGGTGATGCCCATCCATCTGTTTCAGACCAAGATAGCAACGCCTCAGTCAGCGACGCAACATGCATCAGCTACTGCTAGCCGCCCTGCAGCCTCGTCATTCGCACATTTTCTCTTTACTTTTTTGACTTCTAAGACTTCGATACCCAACTTTGTATAGCTCCTAGTAATTGTAGTCGCTAATCGTTACGTTCACCATCATTCGCAGCCGGTCTCGAAAACACTACGAATTTTCTATCTTTAGCCCTACCAGACGAATAATCGAGCATCCCATTACCAGGAAGCTGAACTCCTACGCGTCCTCGACATCGCGCATTCACGATGAGCGCAAAACACAACCTTCACGTCGCGCACCATCTCCCAAGCCACATCTCCCCCGCCTCGGTCGTAGCCGCGCTGCATGACCACGACACAACCCTCACACTCCAAGCCCTTAGCTGTGGCTATGAGACAGCCCCCAGCACCGCCGAAACGACCCTCAAAGATACATACTGGTATCCGCCCGACCAATACCCCGTCGCAACGTACCACGTCAGCGAGTGCATAACGTGGTTCCCTGGTATTGGGCAGTACGGGAAGAAGTACATAACCTTCCCAGTCTGTTACCAGAACACGAGACAGGGCATAAAGACGCGCGCAGATGCGGCGGCGGGCGTGATACTCAGGGCTGAATACAGGGTGGTTGCAAATGGCGAACTGGGTAGCGAGGTTGAGGGTGAGGGCATGGGCGTCGGAGACGCGCAGTTTGTGCTAGTTGAAGATGTGGAAGTCAGCTGCGCGTGGTGGCTGATGCCTTTCGTAAAGGGCAAGATGGAAGAAGGGCATCGAAATCTTTGTAGGATGGTCATCGAGAAGGTAGAGAAGATGGTAAGCGAGGGGTGGGAGGGCCACGATCCTGTGGCATTTGGTCTACGCGGTGTTGCGAGCCGGCACGACAGCAGGATAGAGGGTATGGACGATGTCAACACAGGGTTTGCGCAGGAAACGAGGGAACATTATGCGAAGCCACAGCCCGTGGTGTTTGGGCAGACACATCAAGATTTACCACGATATGCGGACGCGGATGCGATGGAGGAGGAGCGGCCGCACATGTCCGCCGGGCCGCTACCGGAGAAGGTTACCTACGGATAACTTTTGCTCGCAGGCTACGACGCTTGGAGTAACAATGCCCACACGTAGAAACCGTAGACCACTCCACCGAGAGTGAAAGTAAGGCACGACCCTGTGATCGGACAGTGGGCAATAGTAACGACGGGAAGCGAAAGGCAATCAACGCGTGATTGCAGCACACAACCTGTAACTAATGAAACCACATCGACTTCTCCCGACCCTCCCCTCACCAACTTCACAAAGATATGACGCTCTCGACTATTCAACTACCCTTACGCCTCGCACTCGCGCTTCTCCTGCCCCTCTGGGCGCGTTCGACGACCCAGGATGAGGTGTGGGCGGTTTTTCTCTTGACGGCTCTGCTTGCGATATTGGCGTATCAAACACGCTTCGCTGTCGACTTTGGTCTCGCTAAAGACGCCATGATAGCGGTGTACGGAACATTCGTCGCAAGCTATGTTGCCGAGTATTACTTTGCCGGTCCATGGATGCGATTAGCCATGGCGTATATCTTCTCTTGGGATGCGCTGCAGTATGTCTTACCTTCCACCGAACACTATGTAAGATAATTCTCTTCCCAACCATAACGTCGACGTCTAATGGGAATATAGGTTCGTGTCTGGGAAGCACGCCAGAAGCCTTTACGATCATCGCCAATACTGAACCTGCCCCTTGTCATGGCTACTATATTGACAACGTACCTCGGTGTGTGCGGCTACCTCAATACACAGGGCCCTAGGTGGCGCGCCTTAGGTATCTGCCTCATGACGGTCTGCGCCACCGGTGATGCTCTTCAGCACTGTGCTATTGGCGTACGACACATGGTATCCTGTTATTATGCTGTATCGCACCTCGACGTCGCGGATACACCCGGACCAGTCGAGCCGGAACTAGAACGAGACGATACTATTCTTTCGACTGAAGAGAAGAGTGTTTCTGTCTTGGCATCCATGTCTGAGGACGAAAAGTGCAAGTACTGGGCAGAAGGGTCGCTTGTACCTCTGGGGTATTGTGATTGGGAGCTACTGATGGCGCAGGTGATCTCAGAGATACCAACGATGCAGCGTCGGCCAAGTACGAGGAGGAGAGGTTAGGGTACTATGAGACACCAAGGGTAGTCTTCCTTTCATAATTCATCAACCTACAAGCCTCCTTCGCGCAAGCCGTGCCTCACTCCGATGCTTGCTCTTCTGCAATCCACGCCATGTACGCGTCTTTAAGCCGCAATACGAGCCCCTGCCACTCCTCCACAGTGAAGCAACTGCTACTCTGTCTCGACGCTAACTTTGTCTTGACCATATCCTGCAGAGCGCCATTGATGCTCTGCTCAAATACCTGCTCCAGAGCTTTACCCTTGTCTGCTTTAAAATTATAACGGTTCTCTCCACCTACGCCCGTTACGAACCCCGAGACCCGAGCAGTGAAAGCATCAGCACTAGTGCGCTCGCTGAGACGTATTTCGACCGTGTATTGCAAAAGCAGCTTCGGTGAAGACCCTGGATGTGGAACGGTGTCTTTGATTCGGAAATTGACGCGGCGGATATTGTTGGATGTCGGATGAAAGAGTGTACTTGGCTCTCGGAGCCAACTCCCGTTCGAACGTGTGAGAATCTTCCCAGGTGGTGAGGTTCGTAATAGAAGATCAGCAGTCCAAGTATATGACCCGAATAGTAGCGAGAGAAGCTCGAGCCATATCGTTTTGCAGGTATTAAGCAGACCACGGATTGTTTTCGGTAGCTGGGCAAAGACGCCTTTGACGGTTGTCACGCATCGTTCCTTCCCGCCATGATCTATGATTCTTCGCTCGAATTTGCCGACGATGTAGCCGTAGATGTGGTTCCGAATTTCTGCTGGGAGGTCGAGGAATGTGCATCGTTCTAGATTTTCATCGTGTCTGCTTGGGGTGCTTATTGTTGAGACCTGGTGGTCGTCTGGCTGAGAATTGGATAGTGAGTCGGACACCGTAGCGCTTGAGGTACAGGCTTCTAGTACTGGGGCATTCTGTGGTGAGCTCATCTTGCGGTCTTTCAACGAACGGCAAGTGTTATGTAGAAGGAAAAGAAGATTGGAAAGACGCAAAGTAGACATGTAAAGATGTTAGCAGACCTACAGTACTTATTTAGAACCTTGGTGCACGACACGGACTGGTTCTGGGAATAGTGCGGCGCCGCTACGCAGCTAAGTAGCCTGCTGCCTAACGTATCCTAGCACTGCGCGCGCCAGGGGTAAAGGCAGAGGACTCACGCAATCACAGGAGGTATGGTGTTCTTCAACGACCTCTGCGAAATTCTTGTCGTTTGAAATCGATGGTGACGAAGCAAGGTAGAGGCGTGTGCAGAAGTCGCGCATCGCCCGCCGGGCTAAATTCCGCCTGTCACTCCCGTGCCGTCAGCTCACGTCATCGTTAATGGCAACATTGAACCAGATCTCCTCTGTAACCAAATCGTGAGATACCTCAAGCATCTCACCAGTTGAATCACAGAAAATGTCAGAATCGGTAAGCTGGAAAGCCTAACCAAATGCGATGTCATCAGTATGGCAATGGCCATGGTCGCACTAAGCTAGCCCGGTCTGCTAACATCTCCAAGGCCGCCACCAACGGCTTCGCTGAGAAAGACGGCCAGTTCCGTCGCAAACCCTCAGCATTCCGCAACTTTATCTCTTCTGATCCCAATTCAGAGTTTCCAGCGGAAAAGGATCGATATGCGCTTTACATTCACATGGGTTGCCCTTGGGCACATCGTACCAACCTAGTGCGTAGCTTGAAAGGGCTGGAGGATGTCATCCAATTGATCGTATGGGATCTGTCGCTTGTTCACGATAAGAAAGGATGGGGCATGTCTGGGAAGCCTGGGTTCGAAAAAGAGCCGCTGTATGGTTATACGAACTTGAGGCAGCTGTACGAAAGGGCGAACCCGGAATACGAAGGGCGGTACCTCGTCCCGACACTCTGGGACAAGAAGAAAGGCAGGTCCCGTGACTGCAAGCGCGTAAAGACTATGCGCTGACTTGGTTACAGAGACAATCGTGAACAACGAGTCCAGCGAAATAATCCGTATGTTCTACACCGAGTTTGATGCGTTCATCCCCGAGCAGCTCCGCGAGTCCAGCAAAGGCGTCAAATCCATCCTACCAAAGCACTTGCGCGAGGACATTGATGCTATGAACGAGTGGGTCTACGATACCATCAACAATGGCGTATACAAGACTGGGTTTGCCCAATCCCAGGAGGCATACGAAGAGCACGTTTACCCCTTGTTCAAATCTCTCGATCGCCTGGAAGAACACCTTGGTCAGCCAGGTCACGGGCCTTACTTGTTTGGCGATCACATCACTGAAGCAGATATCAGGCTGTATACTACCATCATCAGATTCGATGTTGCGTACTTCACAATCTTCAAATGCAACCTCAAGATGATTCGCTATGAGTACCCGCGGCTGCACAACTGGGTACGCAGGCTGTACTGGGATGAGAGCGAAACGACCAATTTTGGTGCGTTCAAGGAGACGGTGGACTTTCAGGCAGTAAGTATAAGGCTGTGCGAAAAGACGAGGTACTCGATGGCTAATGCACTTCAAGTACAAGGATGGCTACTCGAACGCTACGAAGGCGAAGATTGTGCCTGTGGGACCGAAGCCAGATATCATGCCCTTGTAGATCGTTCACTGCAACGGAAGCTCGTTTAGTCAGTCTGTAAGCGTTGAATAAAAGTTCCATATCATCTAAATCTTTTCTTCCAACCAAGGTGTTAAAATGATCTGTGAAAAGTCGTCAAGAGTCGCTGCGTTGCTGTGTGAAGGGGTAATGATGCGCGCGCGTACGCGCAAGGCAGCGCGGGTGTGAACAGTGAACATGCGCCAGTCCGCGTCGTGAATTTCTCGTGCTTGCTCACCTGGTTGCGACACAAACAGTCATGTCGATTTCACAGAACGGGACGAACGATACTTCATTCGGCAAGACGTTCTTAAGGCGTTCATTGCCAGTTTCTGACACAGCTCCACTGGAATCTATTACGTGCCACTCGAACACGATGAAGCCTTCTACTCATACTGCACCCCCACAAGCCCCTGCGGCTGAGACATTAGACGAGAAAGAGACACCAGATCTTCCACAATCTACACTACCTGCAGCTGAAGATGTATCACATGATCCGTTCCATGACCTAATCCCCGGCTGCCCACAGCTCGCTGGAAGGATGGGCATTATGCCTGAGATAGGCATGTTCAGAAGATTCGGCGCACTTAATGCGCGCAGCCTCCTCTACTACCAGAACGAACTGGCGTACCTAGAGGACCAGTTGAAAGAGACCGAGGCTGAAGACGCGAAGAGTCCAGAGGGCAAGAAAGCGTGGTACAGCCACAATGCTTATTGGCTCAACACCGCAGACCGCACGACAGACGACGAGCTCCGAGACGGCGACATGAGGCAAAGGGACCTCGTGATGCGCATCAGATGTCTTCTAAAAGAATACAGTACGTTAACAACGAAGCAACGCGGAAGCACTCTGATCAAATATCGCAGACGACGCACTCATCCAACAGTCCACCATACTCCAAAGCATGAAGGAGCCCGCTGCCTTCGACCTCGACGATATCCAGCACTTCCTAGCAAGCGACCTCATGAAAGTCCTCACAGGCCTAGATGGAACCGTCTGGGGTTCTTATCAACAACCAAACAGTTACAGCAACGAACTCGTCGTCCTCCGGGGCCGAAAGAACATGGATCCCTTCTCGCAGAACATGGGCGCAAGAGCTATTGATTGGATCGTGAAGCTTGGTGGCAAGCGCTGGAAGAAGGTCGACGCTCGCTTCGGAACTGTTGCTATTGATGAGAGTACAGTCTACATGTTCACATTCTGATCACGAGTGCTGTTGCTTCGGTTTTACTCGTTGGCCCGATCTTCATACTCGCGAACACCAATTCTCTCGATGAACAGCTGGTGGTTATTGCAGCGTCGAATGTTCTTATTTCGGTTTGCTTGATGTACTTCACTCGTGCACGGAGGGCTGATGTCTTCGCCATTACTGCTGCGTAAGTGATAGCAATATCGCATGGATGCATTGATGACTAATGCTGGTGTAGATACGCGGCGGTGCAGGTCTTGAGCATTATTGCAACACTGGACAAGCGGTCTCGAGATGCTTTGTAGGAGACAGGGCAGTTGGAGTTGAAAGTAGCAATGGAAAGAATTAAACATCCTACCCACAGTAGGGTTGCAGAAGACATGGTTTCCTCAGTCTGCAATGTCAGACAGATAGAAGAGCCCAGGCATGTACAACACCCTTCCAGCTAATAGCTTATCTATCTAAACCGACTTGGATACCTCCTGGCCTACAGATGTCGTGCGTGCTCACTGCTGCCACACCCGACTTGGAGAATACAGCCGGTCCGATAGAGACACGATCACACTGACGCACATGGCCTGCTGACATGAGTCAATGTATAATAATACGACTAACATTTCTCTTCCGAGTCCATCAGCTGAAGCAATTTTCGTATTTGGGTCAATCAAAATGTGTATGATCCTGCTAGGGTTGAGGAATACATCTGTGGAGCCTATATTAAAGTGGTCGAGTATATGTAAGCGTGATGTACCTCAGTGGCTGGTGGAAGTTCGTGGGATCTTGTGGGAAACAGTAAGGACCTCCAGGGTAAGCTGTGATACATTGTCTGTAGGCTGAAAATGTTGCAAGTGCCTCCCAGGCTATCGGTAAATTCACTACTTTTCCGTTCCGATATGAAACATATCGTGTCTTTCTTTTCCTCTCCGGCGTGGATCGGACGTGTTTAGGGACCAGTCGCGTGATCCAATGGGTTCATGGTCAGGCTTTCGAGATGTTGGTGGTTGTCACAGCGATATTCGGATACCGGTGGCTTGTACAAGAAAGTGTATATTATATATGAAGTTATAGCGACCACATCTAGTGGTGGACTAAGGTGATTCGGCATATGCTGGCGTAGGGCCCGTTCAAAAGATCTCTTGGTCGTCATACGCCCTCACACTCTCCAACCGTTGCCTAACCATCTTAGGATCTTTGCAGACATGCTTGCTATCCCAGCCATCACTGCCGCCGTTGTGATCAGGGAACGTCGTCTCCAATCCCTCGAGAGCCATGTCTGCGCTACACATGATAGCTTGGCGCATGTAGTCGAAGCAATGGATCATATGCCAGTGGTGGTCTTCCTCAAGCTCGTGGCCGGATGTCATACCGGAGTAGACGGCAACGACGGCGTAGAGGCAGTGAAGTTGGTGGGTCATTGATGTCGTGAAGACGGTGGCGTTGGGCCAGACGATGGGGGTGGGAAGGTCGTGGTAGTTCTCTGGGTCAGGGATGCTTTGGAAGCCCATGCCGACTGTGGTGGTTGTTAGTGAGGTGTTCACGATAGAGTGAAGCGTGAGAAAGTCATACCAGGCAACAGCTCGTTCCATGCTCTAAGTACTTCTGGTTTGAAGAACTCTGATGTGTTGTATGGCGCGAATGTCTGGTTAATCTCGAACTTGGTGATCTGCGTAGGAACTGCAATTCGGTTAACAGATGTACCGGCCTGGACTGCAAGGCAAGTCTTACTATGTGGTGACCACCCGGTGATGTCGCCGCCAACATCGTTTGCGCTTGTTGATCGAGCCTTCCATCTTGTCGAGTCGAGCATGCCTTGGTCTCTAGCCAAGAGCCCAATGATTACGAGTTGTAGTCCTATCACCAACACCCATCGCATCGCCGCCACTAGCGGTGGGCACAATATATTCCTTCGTGATAATGGTGTTCTTCTGTGATAGTCGCCAGCTGCCCATTGCTTCTCTCCTCCAACTAAGGATTCGACCTCTGTCGACGAGTCGTCATCATGGTGATGGTCCTGTGAGTGTACATCTGCGTAATGGTGTTGTGGCTCCATCATGTCGATCGAATAGAATAAGTGACACCAGGTCAGTCGTGGAATTTGATATTAGAAACGGAAGTGAGCACAGCTGAAGAGCCAAAGGCAGCAGCGGCCTCCGTACAGATGTACTCGCATGTCAAACGTGCCGGCCCACACCGAAACGTCGAGGCTGTCGTTCCTGGCGGCGCCTACCCTCTCCACTCATTGTAGACGCCGGCGATAGCTCAATTGGAAGTCTTAGGCGTGAGTCGAGGGCGATGAAACGGGATGTTGGAAGGGCGTATCCGTAAGCTAATCCTTGTTGCGTTAAAGCGCCGAGATGAAACCGACGATGAATCGCCAAGAGTATGAGGCCATCTCGTCTTCCGCCTCAAGCGAGGATAGCCTGAAACCCAATCCAAACATCGAGCATGAACATTCGTACTTTGTTAACTGCAGCCGACGTTGGCTTTCGTGCTTTAGAACGCGCCGTCGCCACTCTGTTCGTATCTCGAGCCCCCGTGGAAGCTTGCTGAGCGCGCATCAGTAGCGATAAAGATGTCGCTATGGATTGGAAGGAGCCGGCTTGTTCTTTTGTGTCGAATTACACAAATAGGGGATGTATAGGCGTTTATCAGGGACCGTCCAATGAGCAGCGAAAGCATGAAGAGCCAGGAAACAAAAGAGATTGTATCGAGGAGGTTGGTGAAGGGGCTGAAGACAAAAAAGGGGTGTTCTGCAATATTGGAATGTGCGGTAAGCTACTGTGGGGGTGTGAAATATGCCAGGTCGCGAATACCACACATGGAAAGCGAACCAGACGATAACTGGAACCACGGTTGTACTTCGTTCAAACTCCTGCCGCATGGTGTGACAGCTGTAGCCATGTCATGTCTTGTACGACTTCACGGTAAGTATTTACCACCGCTTTCGTCGACTGCACGGCGCTGGTGTACGACAGGATTACGGATAGCGATACCATTCACGCTGTGCTACACCTACGTGCGTGCACCCGTCGTGCTCTCTTAGAGACAGTTTAACCTGATATTCCGATCTCTTACGTTTTAGAGATATGGAATGCGGGACTGCAGCGTAGTCCGTAAAAGAAGGATACTCTTATCGCATCTGCAAGTGAGTACGCAAGATACACAGCCACACGCTGCAGCAGGACACGACGCGACAGACTTCGGCAGAATATACGCAGCCTCGTAAGTATGGCTTATTCACGCATAGGTGGTCGTCGATTTCCAAAAGTGAATGTTGGTGTTCACAAATGGAGAAAGAAGAAGCGACCACGAATCGCGGTACCGGAGAGCCATGTGGACTCAACGCTTGACACATAGATCGCTTCTGATGACCCATTTCTCTCCGTTCGTTACCTCGCGTCCTTCGTGCAGCATGCAGTCGGGGCCGTGTCGATGCAGCAGCGCGAGGCCGACTTCGAGGTCGACAACGAAAGGCTCAGGTGGAAGGTCTCTGCTCTTCTTCTTGGGCGGGTCCGGGTAGAAGACAGTCTCTCCACCGACGCATCCCGTGGCCGGCGAGGTGAGGTAAATCAACAAGGTCCAGGTAGTGCGCGTCGACAGAGGCGGTGATCCAGGAGTTTGAATGATCACACTGTTGGAATCGTCATCTGGCTCCATTAGCATGGGTTTCGTCACGACCGTCCGATGACTTGGGCAGAGTGACCAAGTAGTCATGACGTACAGTGCTGGTCGAAGAACTGGCCTTTGGAGTACCGATAGACACGGATGTTGGGGTTGAGGCCCACCACCTCGCCGCCCCACAGCTCTTTCCGCTGCGCTTCAGTGAGGCCGAGCGCCCCTTCCTCCGCATCGGCGGTGACTAGCCTCCTTAGTCCTGTGTCGTTCCATAGTCGCTCAGCGAACGCAGGGTCATCGATTTGATAGCGGTCGTTGACTCGCACGGCATCACCTTTCTTCGGTTTCCCAGGCGTCGTCGTCAATGGCAACGAGGAGAGGAAAGACACGTAGGTCTTGCACAGCGAAGCCGTGAAGAAGTTGGGGATGGTTACAATCTGTTTTGGAAGCACTTCGTGCAGGGCAAGGTCCTCTTCTGGTACGAGAGGAGCGAGGGCAGGCCAGTTCAGGGGTTGTCTCGCTGGTTCAGATGACGCCGCCGGCCTGGCAGGCGCGCCTTGTTGGGCTTTCTTCTTGGGGGGCATATCACTGTCAAGTCCTCCAGGGCTCCAGGGGTGGGACTGGCAGGTAATTCACACGTATGGGTTACTTTAAGGGTCCTGCGATTGGCCTGGGTCGCGGTTCTGGGTGGAAACTTTCAGTGCTTGGCTCTTTCCCTACCAAAAAGTGACGGCCAAATGTGCCGGAACGGGCTCACCTTTGATGACCTGATCTGTGGCTCCCGTCGTTCTTGTAGAGGTGCCCTCGCCCTTCTTGTGCACTCTATCCTCGCCTTGCTATTGCCTGCACCGCTACCGCTACCGCCCGCTCTTGCTGTACCCAGAGCAAATGTACTGACAATGGATTCACCAGGTGAGACAGCAGACGATCTGCCGATATCGCGACACTCGTCTTTCAGTTTTGAAGAATATTTCGAGGAGCTATCAATGGAACGAGCTCGAGAGTTGAGTTCATCTTTCGCATCGGCGCCGTCGGACCTTGATGCGGAGATGGGCGGCCAAGACCCACGTGCAGCAGGATTAGGCCCGGCGCAAGCCTCTCATGGGCAGCCTCGACCGACATCCTCCGAAGACACCAACCCGCTGCGACAGCACGACGCAGACCCTTTCCTATCGGCAGACGCATTCAGCTACAGCTTTGTCGCGCCCTCCAACGATTGCTTCCCTCGTATGTATTGCGCGACACCGCGACGCGGTTTGCTGGGCGAAAAAGAAGCGCGCCGCTAACCATGTGCAGAGGACGGCATCTTTGACCTCCATTCCGTGAACTTCTTCCAGTACCCTTCCACCTACAACTACGCATTTCCCAACGAAGATGGCGGCGGCAGTATGGCCGTAGCCCCTTCCAACGAGCTTCTACACCATGTCAGCCCCCAATATGACACCCCCGACGCCCTTGCCTCGCCTGCTCCCGACAAGCGCATTCCCGACATGGCAGCCGCGACCAGCGATGCGTCGGCCATGCCTGCCCTCGGCGGCGAGAATCCACCGGCCAACCACGACCTGATGGACAACACCCTCACCAACGGACTGCGCCTTCTCGACACCCCCATCGACTTCGCGCAGTCCAACAACCTAAATGGCGCCGACATGAGCGGCATGCCCATGGACATGAATTCCGCCTATCCACCCATGGAGTCCTTCGGCATGATGCCGCCCACCACCACCAATGAGCGCCTCACAGCCTTTGCGCGTCTGCGCTTCGACGACGGCTCCTACTACATGCACACCTACCAGATCACCCTGGGCCGCAACCTTGACCTCGCGCACAGAGACATGAAGCGCCTCATCAAGGCCGAGGCACTACACAAGAAGGGTCACGTCAAGGCCGCCAACCAACACCTGCATGGCTTGGATGAGGTCAACGGGAAGAAGGACAAAAAGAAGAAGAAGAAAGGCGATCGGCGTGGTGCTCGCAGTGTCATCTCCGAGAAGGGTGGCATTCTCAGCGCCCCCATCGAGTCGATGCCCATGGAATACCAGCAGCGTCGCCAGAGCAATGCATCGCACTCTCTCAGCTCAAATTCACATCCCACGGGCGAGTCGGGCGAGGAGAAACCTGCCGAACGCGCGCCGCAGGACATGATCATGCAAGCCTTCCCCGAAGTGCCTGCCCAGTTCGACGGCCATGTCCCCGAAGACCCGAACGACTGTCCGTTCGTACCTATACATCCACAGCAGATCATGGCCAAGACAGGCTCCCTGGGGCCCAAGGGCATATCACGAGAGCATGCCAAGATCTTCTTTGATTTCGACGCAGGCCATTTCTGCATCAAAGTGCTGGGCAACAACGGCCTGCACCACGAAGGCGAGTTCTATCCTCGGGGAGAGACTATACCCTTGGACCATGGCGATCATCTGCAGCTTGGCGCTGTGAACATACACTTCTTCCTCCCCGACGTTGCCCTCACGGAGCAGCAACGCCACCGCCAGGAGTCGGGCTCACGTCCCATGAGTTTCTCCTTCGAGAATGGAAACGGTCAACTGGAAAGCGATGAGCACATCAGCTCCGAGAGCGAAGACCAGCAGAGCGTCAACCCACGACATGTCTACTACCACCATCCTGTCAGTGACAGCGACGACGACGATGGCCTCGCTGACGAGGAAATGGACGACTACGAGGAGCCCGCTCCGAAACCGCGCCAGAAGACAAGTCTCAAGCTTAAGATCAAGAACTTGCCTCCCGCTCCTTCGAAGGAGAGCAAAAAGGCGCACAAGAGGAAGCATCAGCACCGCGAACTTACGCCTGAAGAGCCGCCAACAAAGAAAGTCAAGCTCAAAGTCAAGGACACAGCGAAGCTCAAAGAGGCGATTCGGGAGTCCGCGAAGGAGCCTAAGGTCCAGAAGGAGCGCAGAGAGCCGAAGGAACCCAAGGAACCCAAAGAGAAGGAAGTGGCTGTACCTAAGGAGCCCAAGGAGCCTAAGGAACCCAAAGAGCCTAAAGAAAAGGGCAAAGCTCCAGCGAAGACCCCCGCGAAGGCACCTATTAAATCCGAGACGCCAGTCGAGGAGCCCGTCAAGGACATTCCCGCGGCTCCAAAGCCCGAACAACCAAGCAAGCCTCCGCCGAACGATACTGCACCGGTACTACGCAAGCCACACGAAGGCGAACTTGAAGCCGGAGGAGATATCGATGGCCTCATTACCGAAGAGATGGCGATCCAGCACAACTTGCCAAGAAACCTGATTGGACATGTTGTCGAGAAGCGCAAAGGACCTGGCAGACCACCCAAAGACGGCATCATGTCCAAGCGCCAGCGCTCGCAACTTATCAAACAAGCGAAGGATATTGAGAGGGCCAGAGCCGCTGGCATTGACCCTGCTGATATCCCAATACCGATCAGCAAGCCAAAGGCACCCAAGCGCAAGGAGTCGAACGCTGGCGACGGCGAAGACGACGCCGTCATCGAGACGACAGAACAGGGCGATGGTGGCATGTCCGGCCTCCACAAGCAGGCGAAACCAATCAGACCACCTCGAACTCCTTCGCCTGAGATGCGCATCGAAGACTACTCCGAGGAACAGCTTCAGCGCCCCACGGCCAACTATGTCGTTTTGATTCATGAGGCAATCTCGTCGTCCCCGACGGGCCAGATGAACCTTCAATCCATCTATACTTATATAGAGCGCAAGTATCCCTGGTACAAGTTCAAGACTACGACAAGCGGCTGGCAATCAAGTGTACGTCACAACCTCGGTCAGCATGATGCGTTCATGAAAGGCGACAAAGAGGGCAAGGGCTATCTCTGGAGAATCAACCCGGAAGTTTCGATCGAAAAGGAGCGCAGAAAGAGGCAGGCCAGTCCTCCGCTCAACCATGCCCCGCGACCACCGTATTACCAACCACCAAACGGCTATCAGTCGTACCCTCAGCCTGGGTATGGATACCACCCGGGCATGCCTCATGCGATGCCACAGCCACCTCCCAGGCTGCCGCCTAGCCTTTCGCAGCCTCGCTTACCACCCAGCATGACTCGCAACGAAGGTAACTCAGCTGCGTCGGCCACGCCCCAGAACGCGCCCCATCCCTCGCCTTATGCGTCTCCGTGGGGCGGCGGTGGTAATACAGCTGGAAGTCCACCCGCCCCGAACCCTCCACGACCGTATCCGCAGCCCAACCCGCAGGCTCCACCAGCATCTTCAGCAGCTGGTTCAAGTGGTCAATATGGCGTCCTCTATCCCACGGCTGCCCCACAACAGTCGCCGTACAGCGGACCCTCAGCACCGAGTCCTTACGGTGGGCCATATGCCAATGCTGGCGCCAGCCCGTATGGTCCCGGACCGCCTCGTCCCTATGCAGCCTATCCCCCACAGGGCCAGCAGTCGAATGCTCCTTCGGCGTCGCAGCCGCAGTCTTCGGCATCACCTTACGGCCCGCCCCCGCCTCAGCCACCCTCGCGTCAAGGTTCGACAAATGATACTGCAGCGCCTCATCCGTCTGGACGTTACCCAATCGGAGTTCATCCGGAACTCATTCGTCAGCTTGAAGCCTATAGGAAGACTTATCTTGAGCAGTGCCTAGGTCCCGAGGAGCAAAAGAAGGTGGACAACGCAATTAGAGCTTGCGTAGACAGGACTGTACCTGAGTCGACCCTAACGGAACCAGAGCGTAAGTTGCTCATATCCATTTGCGGAGTCGAGAGCATCAACAAGTACGTCAAAAGGGCACCTGATGTCAAGGATGAAGACGAAGCAAGTACTGCGGCAGCCTTTGCTGCTGCGGGTGCTGCCGCGAACACGGTGTCTCAGCAATACCAGCCTCCGCCCCAAGCTGCACATCCGACAGGCAGTGCGTCTCCAGCTCCGCCACGTGAGAACAGCGAACCGCACAAGTTTACGCCCAACATGACCGGTGCATCACCATCTACGCCTAGGGCCGCTACACCATCGACTGCAGCACCAGCGCCTCCCATAGCCGCTATGCCTTCGCATCGCCCAAGCGTCGAGCCGATCACGCCAGTTCCTGGGTCGCCAGCAGTCCAAACGGGCACCCCGATGCGGCGCCCGATGACCGAGTTGACCGCAGACAGCACACCCGACGTGGACGAAGCGAAGAAGCCAGTGGAGAGCCAAGACGCACCCAAGAAGACCGAGTAGTGTTCTATTTTCTGGCCCTTTGCTCTTTGACAACATTCCGTCCACCATTACTCCGTTCGTCGCCCGACTGCAGTATGTGGCGACTAGCGTTCCAAGCTCTTTGTGGACCTTAGCATTTGACATTCGGCGTTTCTAAGCGGCAAGCATTTTGGCTTGCCCCTCCCAACTCATTGATTATGATACCCTTGAAGAGCGTAGCTTGGTTGGGGGTTCATGGTTTTATCAAAAGTGGAATTTTTCGTCGCGTAAGCTTTTTTTTACGTCGATATGGGATACATGCGTTATGGTATACATGACTGTTTCGAGTAGATAGATGATAGTGCAGTAACGACGACGGTATCGGGTCGTCTCAAAAAATGAAATATGTATATACGCTTATATGTCTTTGCTCTCATTGTGTGATGTGTAGAGTTCTTATGATGAACTGC